ACATACCTTTCAGACAAGTGAGTAGGTCTGATGTCATAGACTTCGATTTTGTTAAAACCACCAATGATCGCTGCAGGAAATAGTCTGCACTACTCACAGCTAGGCGGATTGGAAAACGATAGTGCCCTCCGACTAGACGTCGTACCCTGGAACGTGCATCATAGCGCCGTGACACACACTGAACGGGATGCATTGATTTCCTGGGAGAATAACGCATTGATACGTTGTTGACGAGGCGCCTCCAGGTGGTACGATGCAAAGGTACCGCTTGAAGTGCGATTCAAGCTAGACCGACCCTCTGTTGGTGCGGTGCGGCAGCTCCTCTAGGATTAGCCCGTTCCTGCTCGCAACGCCAATCGCGTGCTTAACTGAGCGACAGCAATGCACAAATCGTTCTGCCATCTCCTCGATCGGGGATGTTGTAGTTTAACGCTCGAGGACTTTTCCGAGGACTTGCGCATCTAGTGCCCGCCGCATCTACCACGAGAACGACATGAGATGTGTTAGTTAGAATGAGACTGCCCATAGGGACATTGGTGGTTACATAGAACGGAGGTCGACAGTGGGAGGTCGACAGGTGGGAGAATTTTCATCCGGGAACCACGCGCTCCTCGATAGGTCTGACGGGCATTGTACATAGAAAGGGATTTGGTCGAGGTAGACTGTAAAACGGCCATTCAACGGAGGGGCGTCCTCAGGGTGTTGGGCATGTTGAGACATTACGTCTCAAACCAGACAAGGCTGCTCGTGGCGTCATTATTAGGAATATCTGGCTGAAAGCATGAGTGCCATTTTGAAAGGCGTCGAGCTCGGATACTTTGGGCGTCGAGGGCATAATGGTGGAGCTGTGAAGGAGACTCGAGGAGTGACCGTCGCGCGTGACATGATCAGGTTCAAGTCCGAATTTTGGTCTCGTCCAGAATACGACCGAGCTCTTGTGTCACACCTTCCAATACCTCGGAATCCTTTGAAGAAGGGTCGAGACGAGATCTTGTGTCCTTCCTCTCTTTTTGGTGATAATCTCCGCCCTTACGACCATGAATAGCACCCAGACCAAGCCCAACGGTCAGACTGTACCTGCTCCTCAAGCACCACCCCCTCCGAAGAAAGCGACTGCAGCGGCAGGGCCAGCTCCATCTACTGCCCCTCCAGCTCCCCCACCGAATGCACGCATCCCACCGCGCTCATCATCAACCCCGAATCCAAACACAAGCCAAACGACTTTACCTCCAAACGCGACGCACACGACGGCCCAAACTCCAGCAAAGAATAAGAAGAAAACCGAAGCAACTCCCCCAGATCCTGGTCTACTTTATGAGAATGTCAAAAACAGGATCGCAGCGTTGGAGGAGGCAAAGCATCAGGGAGAGGAGGACGAGCGTCGGGCTGGTGAGTCCGTGTTCCAAGTGGGATATATCACCTTCCTCTGAAGAGGCCTAAATTGGCTGAACCGTTCTACTTTCGTGTGCCTATCACTGTAGCCGAGGAAGCCCGAGAAATGATCAAAGGCAGCTCGGACTCTATGATCAAGCACAAGTATGTCGAGTTGGTGAGGCTCGTCTTCAGTACACTCAGTACGGTAATTAAATTTCTGATTAGACTTTTTCTTAACAGTTCCAAGAAATGAAACGACTGGAACGCGAATTCGCCAAAGAAAAGCAGAAACTGGTGAAAGAGAAAGATTTCTGTGAGTATTCAAAGGAGGATACCGCTGTCGGTCGTGAGTTGATGTGATCCTTTCAGCTAAAAGCCAATTAACAAAAGCGAATCTTGCAAAGACAAAGCTAGAGAGTCTAGCGCGTGAACTTCAGAGAGTGAGTACACTCCCTTCCCCAGAACTCGTCGTTTTCTGAAGGCTCTTGTAGGAAAACAAAAAACTCCGAGTATGTTGGTCGTAATCTCAACGCTAGACAGGCTATCGAAACTACTTCCGACAGGATGACACTAAGCGCCTTGCGTCTAATGTGGAGGACGCGCAAGACGAAGTTCGTGAATTGATTTGTTTTATTGATGAGTCGACCCTGACGCTCCAATATCCCGATAGATAATAGCCATGAAGGACGAAATGGAGAAGAGACTGGAACAAGCCAAGAGACGAGAAAGGAAAACCCAGGAGTCTCCGAATATTGTGGTGAAGGTTGTCTGCAGGTACAGGGCGGAGATGCTCTTCAAGATCTCTCGCAAATCCAAACTTTCTCTGCTGTTCAACGCATGGACGGAGCGTATGGAGGACCCATCCAACTCCAGAATGGACAAGAACAGCCGCCGAGTCGATAGTAATCGAAAGGCAAACGCAGGTCCCAAAGATGAAGGAAAGGCAAAAGCTGCCGACGGAGATCCACCAAAACCGAAAGAATCCGCCCAGTTTCTTTTTTGGCATCTTGGGAAGAGTATAGACGCCGACCACACTCCAGAAGAACTGGACATGGAAGGTGGCGATGAGATTCTCGCTGTCGAGATTATGGACCTCACCGAAGATATCTCTGTGCGTCGCAGGGATTCACCACTTTTCCCCACATACTCACTTCCTTTTTTTATAGGATGAGTATATTGCTCCAGTAGCGCGTGAAAAAATCAAGAAGAACTGGACCGACAATCCGCCCGAGTATGTTCATGGGTTTCGTTAATGACTTCATTATGGCTAATTAAGCCGTTATCCAGGGCAAAGGGATCGATAGAGGAGGTCTTCAACGGCGT